ATATATATATATATATATATAAATCAACAAGATTATTTTTAATTAAAATAATGCTATTCATACATTTTTTTTCAATGTATCGATCGTCATAAGATGGAGGAGATTCACTTGCATTCTGTGAACTTCAAACGGAACTTATAGTTTAGAACTTATAGTTTTCAAAGCTATATTTAGTTAATGATGCCAAATCATGGTATTAAATTCACATCCATATGATATTAAGTTCATGTTGATATTTATATCTACAACATGATGGGAATTATATAAACACCTCATGATATTAAATCCACACACTCATATTTTTTTTAATATAATTTCATTTTATGCCTCTTCAATTTATTTTTTATTCTCTCGAATCACGCAGGAAGATTTCAAACAATATAGCAGTAAGTAGCAATTTCGAAAAATTCCAATTAGAAAAATATGTCGTATATACGTTATGAAGTGAGACAAAGAAGGATGTCAATCTGTATAAACTATGGATAGTACGTGCGGAAAACTTTTATCCTCTTTCGAATACCATTTTCAAACTCGATGATCATTGAATCTTTTCACTTGGTTATATCATACTTTCGAGCGTCTATCGAATCCGTTTGCTTTTCTATAGATCTTGCTTGGATCATCATAATCTTTTGAACAATATATATGCTTGATTCATCCATCACCGATATCCATCACCGAATATACGAAGAACAAGGACGTGTGTAGATTGCACATTTGAAAGTGTAAATGTTGATTATCGATTCATTGATCGATTACTACAATATATTGAAATTACTATACACAGCGTCGCTAATCAAACACAGAATTCTTTAAAAACAGGTCGCGCATTGATCGAACATTCCACGATCTACATACAGAAAAATACTCACTGTATGTAAGTAATAATTAATTACTTGTATTAAGTATTTCAACAGATAATACATCCACAAATCTATCATAATTTCATCAGCATTTAAATTTATTTAAAATATATTATATATTCCTAGTAAGTTTTATACTCAATCAAGATTATTAAATTAAAACAAATTCGATTTGCTTATTATATAATATATAAAGCAGCTCCTTCAATCAATTTTATAATATATTCTTTAAAAGAAAATAAATTGTTGTTTTAAATACATAATAATGAGTCTTTCTAAAATTTGTAATAATAAACATATTTTAAGATTATTATCAAGAAAATAATTCTTTGTTAAAGATAACGATTATTTAAAAGGAAGACACTAAATTTAGTAATCACTTTTCTTAAAAATAGAATGATATTTTTCTGCGTGTAAACAATTTAGAGTAAAGTGCTGATAAAACAAAGTTAGGACAAAGCTGACAATAAAAGCGTAAATATCGAGGGTGTGTTTTCGATCAAATTATGAATCCCGAATGTGTATATCGGTCGGAAAGGCGACAGTTAGAAACGAATATTCAGAGTAAGAAAAATAAAAGAAAACTCACTGTGCAAAGTTAAGAGATATCAAGTGATTTATAAATATCGAGTAAATAAAATAAACTATGTTTGTTTGTTGCAAATAATGTATAGACTATTTAAGTTAACTTGCAACGTTCTTATCTATAAGACTCCTTGTATCTATTTACGGTTTCCTAGTTTACATCGATATCGATATCGTATTACTAGCTTATCTGCTACGTAACTGTTTTAATATCGTTCACGTGGCGCCTGTCAAGTGACTCATCTACTCGAAATATATCGCTTTTATTATATTTCCACATATTTGCCTCTGCATAAAACAGATTTGTATTTTGTTTTCTAGAATTTCTCCTGAACTACTGAAGTTGGGCTTAAACTGTCGAGTTGATAAATACACGATATTTTAAAATTTATGTTGCGGATGAGAATGCCATGCAGCGGATTCACTTTGTCAACCATCTTGACGGAGGTTGGATGAGTGTATTAAACTAATACAAATTACTTGATGTTAAACTGAACAGAAATAGGAATGAATTCTATATCTTTCAGGACCTATAATACTCTGTTTTTCTAAATCGAAATCTTGAGATGGAAGGAATAAACATCTCGCATCCGAGTTACGAGTCCGTTACGATAGTAAGTATTCAGCGAAAGGTCGATACACTTGCTGCGAATATGCGATACCCCCTGTAAGGATAAAGGAGAAAGGAATGCAAGGGGCACCTATTATATATCTTTGAAATCAGATGTCTAATTCTTTTTTTATAAAAATGTAAGAAACATTTTTTGTTTCGACTTTTAAATTTCGTACGTATTCTAATAAAATAAATATTATTTAAGAATTATTTAAAATATCATCCATCCAAGGAACACATAGAAGTCAACAAAAAATCAAAATGACTTAATTAATATTCTTAATCAATGAACATTCTCAACAAATTTTATAACAAAAGATCATCGTTTTGACTTTCACGATCAAAATAAAATCATTTTGACTTTCTTGTGACTTGGTTGGGTTCCTTGGAATGGTTAACAAAAATGAAAGTCTCACTTTGGCGTCTTCTCCGTTGCATTCCGCGTTAATTGGCGTGTCCTTTAACGACAAGTAGGTATTCTTGGTATGGGTTTACCGAAATCGACGGAAGGGGGAGATTTTTCAGTCGGACTCGCCGCTCGCTTTCGTACTCCGACAACGTCCGCAGGCGCGAAGGTCAACGAGTTTTCTACGCGAGCGGGGAACGCCTATATAGCGTGCTGAGCACCGACGCGCGCGCTCGCGAGTGCTAGCGAGTGCTCGCGAGTGCAGTTTACTCACGCTCACAAAATTGCTATCGAGGGCAGCCCTATTGGTTCTTCCCTATCCGGAATTAATGAGCGCGTCTTTCGCGCTGACAGTCGACGACCTCCATCGAATTCTCTACGGTGAGTCGCGAACCACGCACCGTGTCGGAAACTCTCGCTCGACCTCGATTCGTCCGACTCTGTCAGCGTTGAGATCACCGCTCGGCGTGACAGACTAACGCTAAAAGCGAGCGCGAGATAGGCACCTTCCTGAGGGGGAGGGGGGGAGGGGGAATTCAACCACGAACCGGTCACAAAGAAGCGCTCGCCAAGATTCTCCCTAAATCGAATTGCAGAAACGAAATCGAATAGAATTTATTTCCATTATTATGGAATTCCTTGCTTTCCACCTCCACGGTATAATAAGTCGCACGAAGAGTTGACCGGTCACTGCTGGAGGAAACTCGCAAGATCGGAAACTCGCAACGTCGGAGGATCAAATCCGTATCTCAGTAAACCATAATATTTTTCGACAGGAAATACGTTTTGCGAGTTTCGCGTCCGACGACGACGGATCTTCTCCGGGTCGCGATTCGTCCAGCGTGTGTCCGGTGATGAACGTTTTATATTCCTGAGGAAGGAAAAATAACACGCGGGTTCTCCTACCTCGTAGGCGTATTCGCCGTGCGTGCGTACGGTGCGTACGCGGGGCCTTTGGACCCACTTCCGAGGGGGGCTCTCGGGGGAACTGCGGGATGCGTGCGGACGATATACGCTCCTGCCGGGATCTCCGCGCGCAGGCAGGTAAATATCGTCTAAGCGCGATCGCGCGGCCACGACTGAATCCGTTCTCCTGAGAGAGCGTTTCACCTGCGACGACGGAGCCCCCCTCGACGACCTCGGTACGACGCGCGAACTAAACTCGCTGCACCGCCGCCTTTTCCTCTCCCACTCGCAATCGCGTCGCGTCGCCTTGCGTCGCACGCAGTACCCGCACCTTCGTACCAAGCGCATCCTTTTACCTGCGATACCTGCGTTCTATTCGATTACCCGCCCACTTACTTGAGCGCATTGGTACCCCTCGAGATCGCCGACCGGCAGCATCCGAGTGATTCGATCCTCTTCCCCTTGATAAATCGTGGGAGGCGGAATGTCTTTTTTTTTTACGGTCAGAAAGACGGGTTGCGGACAGGTGTGATGATAGGGCACGGATAATCGAGAAGGTGCCTCCTTTCTTCTTTCTAATCCTTACGATTGATCTTTGTAATTTATCTTTTCTCTTTTTTAAATAGTTCCTTCCTCGGATGAATGGTAGAGCAAACGATGACGATTAACTTTCGTGTTGCTATCTGTTGATATACAACTTGTAAACTGATGCATTGTGATTGAATCAGATAGCATTCGGGTATTTTGATATCTTTTATGACATTTGTAAGACATGATGTTTTTTTTTCTCCACTTATGAAGGAGCTAAGTATTTATTTATTTAATGCTATCCTTCACATAGAATGTGGATTGATTTTTTTTTCATTTGTACATGGACTGTAATCCTTGAAATGGCCTGTGCCCTCACTCAGAAAAAAACATAGTAAATGATAAAGGTGATAAATATACAAGTTTTATATATAGAATTAATGTATACACATAATAATAAAAAATAAAATGAATAAAAAATTGAATAAAAAATTAATGTACATTAATTATATATACTTAAGGAAACTGTTTTATAATTGCAATAATTATATATTAATTCTACATATAAAATTTGCTTACATGGGAAGAATAGTTTTGCTAAAGTATCTAAAAATTTAGATAGATACAGATTTAAAAATAATTTTGTTAAAATATCAAAATAATTATGTAAGAAGCTGATGGTTATCAAAATTCTTTTGCAGCATTGCTCATCGTGTTTGCGATTCATATGTAATTATTTTTAAACAAAATATCTTTTAAGATCGTAACATAACATACAACACTAGGAAATAAAAGCATTAAACGCTGGATATTCAGTACTTAAATAATTCGGTTTAAAGGACCTCGCATAAATCTTATGAAAAATGGATCTCAGTCGAATTGATGGAAATTTTACTATAATGTAAATCATGATGTTCTGATCAAAAGTCCTTATAAGTAGGAGATCCAAAAATGGATAATTTTCGAGATATTGGAAATAAAATGTTGGAATTTAGCCATAATTCTAATATTTGACATCCAGTATCTCGAAAACTGTCCATTTTTGAACATCCTACTTATAAGAACTTTTGATCAGAATATCATGATTTACAATATACAATACATAGTAAAATTTCCACCAATTCGATTGAGATGCATTTTCCATAATATTTGTGCGGAATCCAGATTTATATACATATCCAATTCTGCAAATTACGCACCGAATTTCATTTTTAATCTTAAAGTGCAATTCTAAGAATTAAAATAGTATTATCACATTATATTGACAAGCAATTCAATAATAATGATGCTTATAAACATTCATAGTCTAATGCTAGTAAATAAATTAAATTCTGTAAATAATTTTACAGACGAAAAATATTCTTCATAATTAATCAATTATTTTTGACGTTTCAACAAAATTATTTTCAGACCTGTATGTAGCTAAATTTTTAATTATTTCAGTGAAATCAATCTTTCTGTATTGTTGCCTCACTATGTAGCATCACTATGTCTTTTTCTCTGGATATAACCATCCCGTCCAAGATTCGATTTCGAACGGATTTTACAAGGCAAGCGTGATAGACGTTTGAATACTTTTGACAACTGGCGATATCCCGGACTGACATCCGTTACTCCAATGAGAGATGAATTCGCGATGTCTCCGGGCGACGCGGTGAGTTCGTCTCCCAACTTCCAGCAAATTCAAAACCGCTATTCGTTTTCGCCGAACAGTGATTATTCCGCCGCGGAAACCATAAGCGTGCAATTCTCTTCGTGCGATTCTATTCGCAACTCCACTCGAGGCGATCTAGAATCGCGCGCCGTCGTCGTTTCTGAAGGAACACTCTTTTCACTTCTTCAACTCACGCAAACATCCTGGCACCGAGAATTCGATCATACACGAACCACTCTCGAACTGAAAGACATTTAGTTTCGCGCGAGAGAATCTTTTCCGCTTATCCTCACAGAGTTGTACCTCGCGTATTTTCGTGATATTGATGTTAAAGAGCCATTTATAAAGATGTAAAATGCATTCTCATTTCAATGCCACGTCAGTCCCATCAGTTTGTATCAATTGCAACAATTTGTATAGTTTAACATTATTTATATTATTAATTTTCCCAAATATTATTAGTGAGGATATAAAAATAAGAATTAATCATAAATAGAACGTGAGATATTATAAATTATATTTACTTGATATTATTTTCTTGCTGATTGCTAAGAAATAAATATCATTATACTAAAAAGTTTAAAAGACTGGCTCGACGATTCACAAGCGTTTCCCGATTATTTTCTATTCTCTTATTTTAAATGTCGCGCAATTTGGCTATGAAAGATTCTTTATTTGATTACACCTTTCTCTTTGATCATGTTCATTTTCCCAATCGTTTGCCGAAAAGGTACGACGGAATTACGGATCAGTCGACCATCCGGGAGAGGTGAAAGACAGATGGTCGGCGATGTCGGTGATAAGAAATCGCGATGATCCTTGATAGAGAGAGAAGAAAGAAAAACAGAGAAGAGAGAAAGAGAGAAAGACAGAGAGAAAGACAAAGAGAGAGAGAACGCGGGGGCGTGGGCGCCCAAGGCCTTCTGCTCGCCATTTACGGTTCAGCATAGCCGGACACGGAAGATTCGCGGGGTAAGGGAAAGAACGAGAACCCCGCGATGGGGCGAGGACAACGAGTGGCGCGGGTGCGAGGAAGGAGAACGAGAAAGATCAAAGGAGGCAAGAGAGAGAGAGAGAGAGAGAGAAAGAGAGAGAGAGAAAAATGGATACCATCGTCAGACCATTTTGGTCGCGCTGCAAACTGGAAAGACCACTCGAAACTCAGCGAAACGCGTCCGCTATTGGCGGAGGATGAGTTCCGATCGCTTTGCTTGCGACGAGCGCAAAACTTATCGTTGATCGCGTGTTTTGTTCGACAGGTTTGACTCCAACCTTCTGGATGTTTCTCGCAATGAGTTTCGCGAGTTGATACGAAGACGCGAAGAAGCGATTTTCTTTCACGATGTTACTTTCACATCACTAATCAATTCAGTTACAGAACACTTATTAGAAAAGAGAAATAGATGAAGGTAATATTACCGCATTGGTAATCCTGTGAGATTATCAGTATTCGAGTTTAATAGTCAGTGGAATAGAATGATTAATTTATGCTACACATTTAGACTTGCGCACATTAATTATAATTCATGGAATAGTATTGCACTACAATGTAACAAAGCGAATGTTATTTATTCGCAACAACGTAGTTAGAATGTTTGTAAGAGCGTGTCCTATGTACACATTAGTTAATAAATCGCTTTCACTTCCTAATTTGAAAATCGAAATTGTATAGAAAGAATGGTTTTGATAAAGCATCTAAAAATTTAGCTAGATACAAATCTGAAAATAATTTTTGTTGAATCAAACAATTACTTAGGAAATACAAGTATGATAAGAAAATAATTTTGACATTCTCTTTAAATTCTTTAGAGTGAATCATCCAAAAGAGTGAAATCTCTTTGAAAGAATGAAAATTCTATCATTTTTTAAAAGAACGGTAGAACTTTCACTCTTGGAAAGAGATTCACTCCAAAGAATATAAAATTCTAGCAATTAACTTGAGCGTCTTACATAATTATTTTTATGATCCAAAAATTACTTTTAAATCGATATTCAGCTCAATTTTTAGATATTTTTAAAACTATTCTTTTTGTATGCATTCTTTCTAACTTACAATTAAGAGTTAACTTGCAACTGTATAAAGAGATTTTCCATATATATATACGCTGTGTCTTAATCAATTCTCTTTTGAATGTCAATGAAATATCAATTTTCGTTTTTGATAAAGAGTACTTTATAAAAGCAACTTTCCCTTGAATTAATTAATCTACGTGTCGCATCGCGTATACTAAAACGCGGCGCGGGGATTAATATACAGTCTAGGCCGCTGGCAACTCTACGTAACGAAGAGCGTAAATTCTGTCCAACGCTATGGACCGACGTATCATCTAGGATATACGCACGATCATCCTTGCATAACGATTATGCAGCGTGACTCGCCTGCAGTTCCCTTTAAAAAGGCGCTCTCGCGAGAACGGGCGTCAAACATTACGACACTATACGTGGATGAGGTGTCAAGTATATCGCGAGCGAGAATAACGCGCGATCGCTAAATCATTATTTTTTTTCTCTTCCATCGTAATTTGTCGGTCGCTTTCAAATCCCACGAGAAATATCCTATAAAGTGACTTTCACGATCCACCACTATACGAGTGATCCGCGACACTTAGCACGATGTTCCGCGTGTTTCTCGCGTGCATTCGTCACGCCGGCGCACGCAGACTCGTTCGTCGAATTTCTGTTTGTGCACCACTGCTTTTTTTCTCCGCAATATCGATTTACTTTTACAGTATCACTTGTCACTCTGACGTAAGTTATGTTGTAGTTGTGTTACGCTGTCACTTAAAAACCCGAATCGCGCAATGACCCTTCACTTTCACATACGACGTCCTTGGACCAATTAAAAAAAACTCGAAATTTATCTGACTGAGAGAATAAATATATATAGTATCTCGTTATTTAATACAGTTTGCATATTGCAAATATTTCTTCTTGCTATTAATGATATAATTACACTGAGAAAAATATTTTAATTATATTAATGAGAAATAAGAGTGCATTCCGATAATGATGAGAATTCTGTACTTATTGTGATTGAATTTATCTCAACTAGAATGTTTGATAGATTTAACTGTGAAATAATCTGATTTGTACTTTTCTGGAGGTCGATTTATCAGAAAACGAATAAAAGTTATAAAAGTGAGTAAATTCACTAAAATATTTATAATTTCATTGGTCAATATATATCAATATATATATCGCGAATTTGCTCACTTTTATTATTTTTATCTTGCTTTAAGATACTCAATTGACACTCTGATTGAATCTAGCAGATTTTTAATTTATGCAATCAAATTTTTTCCATGTATATATGCAAATATATTATTAATATAATTTTCGTAGAAATATTAGGTGTAGTAAAAAGAAATCCATTATTTTTGCATGAAATTGAATGGAAAAATAATGGATTTCTTTTTACTACATCTAATAAAATGAATAAAAATTAAAAAAAAAGTATAATCCCAAGTTCTTTATTTTTAAATTTACTAAATTTTTTCAATTTCTATTACAATGTGTCAAAAAAAATATTTGTAAGTAAAATAGTTTCAAATTTTTTTAACAAAGGCAAAAGCAAAAATACACAGAGAAAACGTATTAAGTTACCGAAGCGTTTCAAACTTGAGAGCGATGCCGAAAGGAAACACAAACGAAGTAGTTCTTCGGGTTCTAATTTTCGACGAAAAGTCCAACATCGTGCTCAGACTTATCGCCTGATATCGCCCGCGGCTGGGCAGTTTCGCGATGTCCGGAGCGAACTCTCTTTGGCAGAGGAGGGTAACGGACCGGTTGGTCCTCTCTCGCCATCGCATTCCCGAATATGGCAACACGCATCTCGAAGTGTTACGGACACGACGCACGTAATACTCGAACGCACAACGCGCTGGAATATATTCCAAGTTATTCCGAAATTGTCTTGTACTCGAACGTGGTTCCCGTAAGTCTAAACGTCATCTGTGAAAATAAATTATTTGGCGAACACATCACCTTCCTCCGAGAGTTTTCACTTACCTGGAATAAACTCTTGATTGTACAGCAATCGAATGAATTGTGCTCAGAAAATAAGTTCTGAATTAATTATGGAAATATAATTATGGAATTTATATCAAATCGTATGTGAATATAAAAAATGACGAAGATAATTTATTGTTACAAACATTTATATATATTTATATTAATATATATTTTAATCTAAAATGATGCAATTAATAACAACTTCCTTTCATTCTAGTGATAAATATTTTATTAATAATATTTTATATAAGCATAATAATGCGATTAATGCTTAATAACAATTAAAAATAATTATGAATGAATTCTAAAAAAATATGGTATAAGAAATAAAATGTCTGCACATAAGTTGGTAAGCCAAATAAAAAGCTTCGTTTCTTCGTTTTCAGAAGAAATCTTCATTTATTGATTAGAATATCAACGTTTAATAAATCAACGTTTTTAACGTTTGCTTGTGGATATGTACTATTAAAATATTCACTTATAATGTTTGACATTATTATCGACAAAAATGTTATAATCTGTAGACGTCAAAGGAAATTAAATAACATGACAAACTTACAAAAACGTGATAGCATTTTCGGAATCGTTAATCAATATCACAAAATTAATAACTCTTAAAGTTTTAAAGGTAACGCACCTTTATTTTGGACGCTATCTTCATTTAAATAGAACGAAGACAGATACAGCAAAATCGATCGTATTCGATCGGTGGCAGTGTGTCCGTATCAATAGATAAATTCGATATTATTACGTAGAACATAATGACTAGACTACATATTTTACGTTCTTGCATTAATGGATTGAGTAGAAGAATCTTTCCTCAAAGACATAAATTCAAACTTTCCATCAAAAGAGATCGTCGTAACATTGCCCGAAAAAAATACGGCTATACAATAATCTATAAACGAAAGAGATATTAACTCCCTCCTTTCTTATCTCTCTTACTTAGTATTCATACTTGCGAAACACGGCACGATAAAAGTTAAATAGTTCGAAACAATTTATACGCAGCGTCCACTTAGCATTCCGGACACTCTTTATAGTCTAGAACTAATTTACAAAGAAAATATCGGCGCACGGGATTTACTTTGCCCCTCCCCTCATAATATCCTTTCGCGTGAAGATAAACGATAGGATTTGCTGTCATGTCTAAGAATGTAATTCATAAAAACTTCATAATTTTATCTTCTATGTGAAACTCATTGTTTTTCGATTCCTCGGTTGCTGATTCAAAATGCATTCTTTAACGCAGCGATGAGGAAAAATGATAGGATCAGTTGGAGATCCTCAAGTAAGAAATTGAACACTGTTCTAAATATGGCAAACATTTATGATAGAATGAAATAGATATTCATGCATTTCATTAGCTGCGTTCAGCAAAAAGACAACTTTGCAATTATTATAAGATTTTTTATTACAATTGATTTTTATCTCTAGTCTCATCTAAATATATAAATTAATCATGTTAAAGAATCTTACAATAGTTACTATTTTTTTCTACTGAAACACAATTATTTTTTGCATCTCATTGTATCTTAAACACCATCTTAAATATGGCAGACAATCAAAAAGTGTATATAAATAATATTCAATCTCTTACAATGAGGATCTCTCTAAAACAATTGTCATCTAAAAATATAACTTATGAAAAGCTTCTAATTTTTACGAAAAAATTGTTTCTTGTTATCTCTCAATTTATTGATCTAAGGGCATTCTTTGTAGTGGACTCAAAATTAGTAAAAACAAGATATCCCGTGTGATGATACATTCGATGTCTAGCACTCTTTCGAGATTCTGTCTTTTGGCGACACGGGAGTAAATATAAAGGCACGAAGATCTCTCTGGCTGGCGTTACTCTCGATGACTCTCGGTCGTGCGATATCCGTTCGACGCCGCTGTTCCTGAAGTGTCTTTTAACGCGTGTCACTATCTAAGGACGACGCATCTCCAATGTCCTGTCAAGTGCAGCAACGCCGGTATAGTTTTGGTCCTTTCCATCGCTCTTGCACACGCGATGCCGTGTGTCTCTGTCTTTTCGTTTACGGGCCACCGGTTGAATTCACCCGACTGCGACCGGGGACTGGAACCGGTATGCAATTTCGACGAGTTCAGTTCCCTGTGCTGCAAGACATGCCCAAATGCACCTTTCGCGTTTACGTTTACAAGAAGAGAAAGTGGAAACACACACGGGGTAACACACACGGGAACATAACAAGAAATGTGATCGTCCCTTTATCAGAATAATATAAAAATTATGGATGCAAGATATCGTCTATACAGTTTGATATTCCTATCATACTGGAATGCGCATAAATCTTAAAATAATATAACGAATATAATGCGTAAAGCTGAACGTTTAATTTCATGGAGTCTCAAAAGCACACAATTGACATTCCTACTGTTCTCTATATAAATATTCTTCGTTTGTGCTTGCAGCATCGAGATCGTTGAACTCGCCAAAACTACGTTAGATTCTTGAGGATGACTAGCGAAAGCGCGTCTCTCTCTCTCTCTCTCTCTCTCTCTTTCTCACCAGAAATTGTGATCTCCACGAACGCAACTTCGCGCGACTATCGCTGTCGCATCGCCTCGAGTTCGACGAGCAACAATCGGCGGAAGGGAAAAACGCGTCTGTTTGTGAGAGCAGACTCGCGGATCCTCGAGAAAGATCCTCCATCAGCTAGTCTTCTGAGGTTCCGACTGCGATCGCACGTCCCATGTCGTTCCCGGACACGACGACGACCACGCGGTGCAGATGAGCGAGGGCAGGATTGCGGCAGCGGCGAATCGAACGTATCGTCCCTCCGAGGCAACCTGCAACAATAATCATCCGATTCATGGTGCGCATGAAGCGATTGCATAGATTGCATCGGACACGGTCAATTGATCTATGGACATCGCGCTGGGACACGCGTCTCTAGGCTGCTTAGTTATGGCAGGTGAAATCGTAAGCGCGCACGTGCCTGACGCGCATCGTTTTCTTTCGAGGCGATCGCATAGAGTAGATCGTTCGCGATATTTGCCGTTACATTGCTAAACTTGATGGTGCGCTTCTTTTAAAGTGAAATCACTGGAACTCATATTTTATTTTGAAATAGAAATATCAATGATATTGGAAAACAGTATGAATTATATTTTTTATTAGAATGCTTTTAGAATTGTTTTATAAATTTGGGATTATTTGGGATTATGAATTTTTTTTTAAATAAAAATTATTTGCAAACTAAATGCGTATATGAAAAAAATTATATTATTATATTAATAAGATAGCTAACAGCAGCTAGCTCACAAAATTTTAGATTTTTTCAGAATATGTAATTTTATAACTTTTTAAAAAATTATATAATATATATGAGAAAGATTTCTCTTATTAATTTTTTTTAAATACAAAAAAATCTGTAATATTTTCTGTTAATTAATGTAATTTTTATAAACGAAGATAAGTGTCAAAAAATATTTATAATTTGCGATACCAACTATATGTATTTTTTTATGCATATTCCTATATAAATATAAATATTGTGACTAACATTTTCAATAACAACTGTAAAAACGGAAATAACTATATTTTACGATGCAGTGATAGCAAATTCTAAATTACCTTTCTCTCAGTGAAAGGTACACTTTATTTCCTAATTCTTTAAAAAATCATGTATTTTTATAAAATTTTTAAAAAATCATGTATCTTTATAAAATACTGATAAAAACGTGCATTTGTACTTATATATTTTCTATATGAAGCATAAATATTTTTACGAATATAACATTGATCACGCTGTAATATCGCGATTCAGATAATATACAAATGCTATTCAGCACGTACAAGTATACGATCACGTAGGCGATCGGCGGATGTACGCCAACGATCCCTTAAGAATTCAATACGTTTCTGAATGCCAGTGTCATAAAGAGCAAAGTTATTCAACGGACACCTACGCGAACATGAACGAGAACAAGAGAAGACGCTCACCTCGATCAGGCTTCTTGAAGCTCGCCCTTCACTCCGTGATGATGCCTCGAGGCGAGCTTGTTCGCCAATTCGTGCATCACGTCTCTGTATATCACGGTGTCCAAATTCTCGCCCAGCATGTAGAGAAGAAACCAATCACCGACCTTACTGCGACGCACTATGGTCTCTACAGCATCCCTTCGTACCAAACGAAACCTCATTCGCAACAGGTAGACCCTCGTGCGCGGCGAAAATATTATTAGGATCTGCAGAGAAAATAGCAAATTATGTTGCGAGAAAAAAATAAGTAAATAAGAATAAATGACATTAAATAATATGTGAATAAGACAACTAAAATGTTTAATAATATTTCAGTTTGAATTTATATATATATATATATCTAGTAACATTTTTTGTAAACTGCCAATTTAATTTTTGATCTTGAAACGTAATTTTAAACTAGGATAATATCTCAAATTAAATTGACAAGCGGTTTAATTATATTGATGTTAAACATTTTAGAAACTGTAAAGAATTTATTTATGCTTAAAAAGAGCTATCTTATTATATTGATTATTATTGATTTCAATTTTACAATTGCAAAATAAATGAATGTTATTTTATTATAAACATTTGCACTTAAATTGGGAAATTTAAATAAGAAATATCGATTGAGGTAGAAAAATTGTATTATTTCTATATCGATATTATTTATAAAATACAAAGAGTACTTTTTCTGGGATTACTGACCCTATATAAAACCGTAAAGAAACTGAGCACGCCGAGGAAAAGGAACCAGAACCACAGAAAGACATAGATCTTCTCGTTCACGACATTCAGAGGCAGTATACAGACGGCGTCATGTCTCTCGACTTCTCCGCTGACGCCGTACTTGTAAAAGGTGCATTTGGTCATTCGTGGAAAGACATAAATCATTGGGTCCACTCGGTCTTCTTGATCGGATTCGAGGAATCTAAGTACGTCAATGCCAAAGGTCAAGAAGGCGCCGTCGAAGAAACGGTTCATCAGAAACATCTGACCTGCGACAATGTGCTCGTTGCTTTACAATTCTTCGTCATTTCTATTTGTCTTTCTCTCAAAACAATTTCAAACAGCTACTTACGATATATACAGGGTGTCTCGTACTACAACCGAGGAAGAGGTGATTTTATCATGAAAAAGTAAGTCAAAATCGTAGAATAAAATTTTTTTATATGATTTTGAATTAAACTGAATACTATGTCTACTACTATTTTTGATTATTTTGTATTGATTGTATCAGATAATCGAGAATATGCAATAAAACAGGATATTCACGCACGATGAATTTTATTACTTTATAAATTATTGAAAATATCCGAAAACAAAGCCTCATTTAAAAAAATTTATTTTACATTTTCAGCTTATTTTTTATATAGAATCATCTTCTCCTTGTACCACAATTTCCGAAACACTCTGTCTATAATAATTAATTAAAAGCACAATTAATCTCTATTGCTTTTTTAATATCTCTGCAACATTATTTTTTTTAATTATAAAAAATTATTTTAACATTATTAAATATATATTACATCTTATAACAAATAAATTTGTACCAATCTTAGCCATGAGAATAATATTTGTAATATCTGTAATATTTTAGAACAATTTTGTATCTGAATGAAATATTGAACAATAACTTCGTGTTTAATCAACAAACAATTATACGATTATTTTTATAACTTTCGTAGTTGATTGATTTATGTACCTACGTGTGAAAGATTATATTTCCGCATACGTTTATGATAGTCATATCACACCATAATTTAATGCAATAGACATAAAAAATAAAATTGATGAGCTATCTCAAAGTAAAATTGGGGAGTTTGTAAGCAGTTTGTAAGTGGCCAGCTGTATCACTGCCAACTTTTACCGTGAATCATTCATTCATTCCCCGCTCATTATACAGCCTTCCTTTTTCTTACACACATATACGTTTATAAAATTAACGCGAGTTAGTCTAGAGATAGCTTGTTGAATTCCATCGTCTTTGACATAACCTTTCAGTGAAAACGATTACATTATTGCAACGCGTCTTGAACATTTGTAACACTAATATACTAAAAAAAAATTAATAAATCTTAATACATATTTTTTCGAACGGATTTAAGTAAACATTTACTTATAGTATAATAATTATTTACTCAATAAAAAAAAGATAACTAAATCAAATTAATAATTTTTGTATTAAATAAATGGATTTAGTAAACATACATTAGTAAATATTTGCTTAGAATTATTTAAACAAATATTTATTAAAATTTACTTTTTTTTCAGTGTTGAAATACTTTGCATCCTTAGAAATTTAATTTTTATATTGTATTTAAATATTCAGATGCACATAACTACTTGCGCGTATTCGAGATTTAAGTACAAAGAAATCATTGACGTAAATATGAATATTTTTTTAATGCTTTAACAGTTTATATAGTTTAAATGACAATAATTAAGAAACAATTCGGCAAGTATTTTATTTGTTATCGCGATATCTTTATCTACTTCTTCTTGACGAAAGATAGAACCAGATAGAAATGTATAGAATATATATTTTACAAGTAAAATATCTATGTAAATCTCTGCAGTTGTTGATGCATAAATTATGTATTCATAATATGAATAAGATACAATTCGTAACTAATTGAGATGTACTTACTTATTAAACGAAGTTAAGGTAAATGCAAACGTTCCAACTCTAGATTTGAATCCTCTTCAGCGCAGAAGTTAAGTACAAACAGTTTGTACGGCGATAACAAACTAAATATTTGTTAAATTGTTCTCAGCTATTAATATTCAAACTATATTACACAAACTTTCTAAGCATCAAGGAATATTCATGTTATCAATCTTGATTTCTATGTATTTAAATCTCAAAATTCATACAACCCGTTATATATGTTTAAATATTTCAACGGGACACAAAAATAATATTTTTCAAATCAAAACTTGTTTGTATTATTTTAAACAATAACAAAAAGATAAATATAATAGACTAATGAAAGTCAGCAACGATAAACGGCGCAATTATTTAGTAGAACAATATTCAGAATTGATGCTTTCTTTATTTTGAATGTTTCGATTCTCTTTGGAGAATCCTCCTCAGCAAGAAAGATATACAAGTATAGTTAGCTCACATGTCCATAATGCCTAAGTCACTCGTAAATTGACAAAGATGCAGCGTTGTTAATCGGAATATGAAGCATTGCACTGAAGCTTTGTTGAAAATATTAAAACTTAAAAAGTAGAATTGTTAAAATCAAATATAAATCTCACATTTTTTAAAACACACGTCCGTGTAGGATTCAGACAAATGACATATCGTCGTATAAGGACGTGTGTTTTAAAAAATGTGAGATTTATATTTGACTTTAACAATTCTACTTTTTAAGTTTTAATATTTTCAACAAAGTTTCAGTGCAATGCTTCATATTCCGTGATGATTAACAACGCTGCATCTTTGTCAATTTGCGAATGACTTAGGCATTATGGATATGTGAGCTAACTTGTATCTTTCTTGCTGAGGAGGATTCTCCAAAGAGAATCGAAACATTCAAAATAAAGAAGACATCAATCCAATATCTGAGTATTGATTGTTCACTAAATAATTGCGCCGTTTATTATTGCTGACTCTCATTAGCCTATTATATCTATCTTTTTGTTATTGTTTAAAATTCGAAAGTCCTAATATAATTATTGTTTTTGTATTATTTTAACTTTGTTTCTTAGTATATTTCAATTAGAATACATAATTTACGCATCAACAACCACGAAAGCTCACATAAGTATTTTACTTGTATTGGATTTATTCTTGGAGGCACAAATATTATTTATTTTATTTTCTTTTAATATAGTGTTCAACATAAAGTAATAGCGAAAAGCTGTCAATTGTTTTTTTTAAATTCTACTTCTTAATCTCAGCTATACAAACGTATGCATCTTCAGCACCAAAAGGGAAACGCTTTAAATATCATTCTCAAGCGCATAACTGGTTTATATTTATCGATTATAAACGGAAGATACGCGATGACGTTCGCCTAACGGGTCTGCGAATTCCGATTTGGCCGATATTACGACATCGCGATGAGGATGTACGTTGATCGAGAAGCTCAAACATTGATGGAGGACTTTGGCGCGGTCCGAAAAAAAGAAGTGTGGGTTACTCACCGATCACATTTAGAAGCGCGAGGACCTCGCATAGGTAGTACCTGTAAGCCCACCAATTATGAAAGCGAAGGTTCTCCCAGAGGTAGTCGAGCAGCATTTTCTTCTTTTGCTTTTTCTCCACCTCGGAGCAGAGCCCGATATCGAGATCCATCATAAGGGCATGAATCTTGCCACCCTCCCAGCCCTTCCAGAGCCAGCGCGGGGTATAGAAGAGGATCGCCTGCGAGCAAAGTGTCGAGCAAATAAATACCGACGAATCAGCCAATCGTTGATATATTACAAGGAGTTCCGTAGGAGGCGGACCTACTTATGTACACACTAACACATAGTTACGGTAACACGCAAAAAGAGTTATCATTATTACACCTTGCCCGATAACTGTTGATTAAAACAATACACGGAACACTCATACGCGAACGAAAATCTATTTTACGAACTTTTAAAAACTGCTAGCCGCACCTCTCTTCAAGAGGCGCAAAGCGAGCGTATCTCGCGAGCTTAATTATTTCATATCGTCGCTGTTTATCACGCTTAGATATCGATGTTCTACGAATTAAGTTGCATATTGGTTATTACTCATCAATTGCACTATAATGAATTAACGGCAAAATTTAATCTGCGGTTAATTAACCTTTAGTAAGCGGAGGTATATTTTTTAAATCTTACAATTTTCCTTGAGTAAAATTTCTTATATATTATGTTATTGTACTCCTTGCTTCAAAATATGATAATTTCAGCGTCACTATTAGTGGTCATCCTATAAAAGTTAACTTTCTAGTTCGTTATTTCACTGGAATCTTTTTAACAGTTTGACATCGCTCTTATTTTCATAATTTAGTATATAAATTATATTAATTAATAATTATTTAATGGTAACATTTAACACAATACATATGGACTATTTGAAAATTCAAATACCCACTATCAAGTCTTATCTCGCAATCTATCGTAATGTTTTATTAACTTCCTATAATATTTTTATTCGATAGTATCTTAGAATACTAAAATAGAATAGATAATATCTTAGAGAGAGGAATGGCAGAGGTGTAAGTATAGTTACGCTTGGAGCGATAATCTGAGCTAATTGAATCAAGGCAACCTTATCTTACATTAGAATTTCCGAAGCGATGTCAATGCACTTATCGAGACCACGATGTGGGAGTAAACCCTTTCTCACGGTATATAAAGCTTTCTGGCTTATCGCCAGGGGCCTCAGGTCGTGCTTGCTGTAGTACACGATCGAATATAGATACGTACGCTCGTCGCGCGTTACCCTCTTACGATGTCTTGGCGAGTGTTCAGAAAATTTCAGCTAAATTGCAATTTACGAAAGGCTCGGATAATTGTTAATGAAAGTACGTGCTTAAGACGTGCGTCGGAACTTAATGGGTTTCCCAAAACGTATGCTTTTATCCAACGAGTCACATTGTTTCTAAGAAACGCAGAAACGACTTATTATTTTGGCTTGGAGACAAATACACAAGATGACGGTAAAATCTTAATGCGGAGAACATGTACAATAATAATCCTGTAATCCACAGATATTGCGCAAATTTCATGAATTCTGTATAAAATCTGGTAAAGGTACAATTCAGTAAAATCTTTCTGTGAAATAAAATTTTTTAAAATTCTTAAAACGCTAAGCTTTTAAATAAATACTTTAATAATTTTTATGTAGTATCTATAATGTATAAACTGGAAAAGTCGCTAAGCAGCTAAAATTGGCAGTAAGTTAGATTTTTTTCTCGTAAACGTTTATTTAAAAAAATTATATAGGCGGTGTGAAAATGTAATGAATGTTATGTAACTCGTATGGTCTTAGCGTGCATGGTTTACATATCTGCGACAGGATTCTTCAAAATGGGTGGTCTGACCTCGCTCTTGACAAGAATTATGAAGAAATATAAAATAAACGCGCATGTCAGACCGATTGTACGATTTGCAGCTTTTAGCATTATCGCGAGAGAACGCCTGCGTTGTAAAGAGAAAAGGAAAATGCGTGACCGAAAATAGATCTGTATCCCTCTCTTCTCCTCTCTTCCCTTGCCAACCAGGATCGAGAACGCGATCATATTTGCTGCCCTGCTGAAAGGACATTTATATCTCTCTTTCACTGTTCAAATTTGTAGACGAACATAAATTCCTTTAGATATGCAAATAGATTTAAACATATCGATGATTTGCTCTTTAGATAACAAAACGAAATAAAATAAAGTAACGCAATTTTATACTCCGAGAGATCTTTAATAAATTATACAATACCTATATTATATATTATAAAAACAAGTAAATTAAATTTAAACTTAAAAGCATATTCTATAGATATATTGTTTGTTTTTTAACTTGGAACTGGTTACTTGGGTCTTACAGAGGGTGAAACGGTTGTTATAAAGATCTTTCAAAGCACCGTCTTATACAATGGAAGTCTAATAGCTGTAATTCAGAATTAAACGTGTAATAACGTAAAATTGGATAAATTTATGAAATTGCAATCTAATCAATTTTATATAATCAGTTTCGCAACTGAGATAGTAAAATTGAAGAGAGAGTGATATTATTGTACATGAAAAAATAAGTCGAAAATATACAATGAAATTTTTCATACGAGGGGGCTTTGTTTTCAAAAAAATTGACTTTAAATATTCACTGAAAATAGACTTTAAATATTCATCAGATATGAAAAGAAGAAATACATGTTGAAGAAATACACGATCCCCGGCTGATGCGTAGCATCTATGTGTCACGTTAGCCCCGAATAAATTTAGCTAAACAAGGCGAAAGAGCTTTGAAGCTTTAAGAAAAGCGAGACGAAGAAGGAAGAAGAGCGGACAAAGGAGACTTTTAACACGTGCAAAAATAAACGTAATGTAAAATGTAGTTAATTTTGAAGCTGTTAAATAGAAATATTTTTATTTACGTATATATATAAATACAAAAAAATATATAAATTGTTAGAAAAAATTATTCTATTTTAAATGATTTAGTAAAATTACGTTCTTATTAAAATGCATTATGTTACATGTTGTTTATTTAATTATTATAGAAAATGATTTACTTGTGTGTGAACGAAATAATTATAAAAAAACTTTCTCCTTTCTCTTTACAAACAATTTTCAACAGTTTTCAAAAACATGTTTTCTACGTTACATTTTCAATTTTATTAAACGTTAATCATATTAGTGATGTATTTTGTCAATTTATTAGCGTTACGCGACGTTATACATGTTTCATGTCAAAGTTGTCTAGAAAACACATTAGATACGCAGCAATCAATTGCAAAATAAAAGGTGGATGCGCGATTAATCAAAGAGCGAGAGAGTTGTAGGAACATTGGATGTATAAATAGAGGATAGTAACTTGAGAAAAAGAACGATATTGTACGTGCGAGTAATGTTTGAAATATGGGAGGCGGAGGTACGATCGAAGATAGCATCGAAGGTACATATGCATTTTAAAGGCAGAACTATCTGTAACCTGTATTTATGTATTGACGTTATGAACAAGGATTATCAATCACGGATAAACGAATACACACTCATTTGCGATCATATACTGTATCGATACTGATTCAGGACCTGTAATTTCTGAACTATCTTAATTTAGATATGAACATTTGATCGCCTTCGTATGTTTGTATTAACTATAAATAACTTTTTGCTTTTTCACATAAAATTGAAGATCAGAGGTTTTACGTTGCAATTGATATAAAAAAATACCGTAGTAGCTCGTAACAAGAATAATATTTCACACATAAAGATAAATGAAAAATAATATTTATTATGAAAATTCCCAATATTCTTTAATTCAATCATTGATATATTTACTGTAGAGATGAGTACAATTATAAAATAAAATATATTAATTAAATGAAATGTAATAAAGATAATATAGTTAGATAATATAAAAATAAAATAATAAAGAAAGAGATAAAGAAATGTGTGCATGGAGAAATAAAAAAATCGATAAGAAATGCAAGGAAGAGACTGTCACTTCTTACTTGCAGTAGCAAGAAGAAGATAACCCATTGATAATATTTGTGCTGCTTGACTAACGGATGAGGTGCGTGGCCGTGTCCGCCTTCGCCCTTGGTATTTGACACCCCAGGGTAAGGCACGGCTTGACCGATGCTCATGTTGAATGCACGCACCATGCTGTACGTGGTGTGAAGCCAGCAGAAGGTCTCCAGCACGGCCTTGTCCACGGCCGCGGTGGCTTCGCAATGTATTGGCGAGCCGGAGATACTTTTGCAAGCGAGGGTGAGGCAACCGGCTAACAGCACTGCCACCGTGGCACGATAATGCAATCGAAATATCATCGAGTCTTCGGCGATCCTGTGCACCTTGAAAAGCGATCGAATCGAGCCGAACAGATCGATCATTTTGAGCATTAGCGGCATGTTAAATAAACGGAGATCGGGGAGTGACTTTGCTCGAGTCGCCCGGCAATCTCTTTCGCGATATCATCACATCCTTCGTTCCCTTCGTCGTTTTTTTCCACCAGCGAAATGACTATTTTTACACTTACAATTAATCCTACTGGAAATTAGTCCTTTGAACGAACTGCATGATGAGCACGAAATTAAATCACTTTCAGTATTTTCTTTCGAAGATAATTAAATACTTCAAGATAGCAATATCGAGTGAAAGTATAATATTTACATTGATTTATCACTTTCTTGTTGTCGATTTTAATTTATTTGTCGGATTCGAACTTCCGTTTCATTGTGAAAAAAATTGCAATTATTGCTTTAATTAAAATGTCAAAAATAGATAATCCTTAGAAGAATATAATTATAATCGTAAAAGTGGACCACCCATCTCCACGATCTCTTGAGATTGGACCTAAGATGGAGTGTACACTGTATGCATTTTGTGGATATATAAACCATCGTAAAAGTTACATCTACTGTTTGCTTTTCTGACTTCCCTTTAATTTACTTTTCTCCCTTCGTTTATTCTTGTCATCTCTTCACTCCCCTCTTATCTGTTTGTCTTCCATTTTTAAATACAATGAATCTCTCTTCGAATTTTAATGCTGACTCTCCCTCGTATGCGAAACATGTTGATTTCTTCCCTTCTTCGTAATTATATCAATGAAAAAAATTGATACAATTATTTCCGCTACATTTTCATTTATATAATACTTCTATTATTAAAAATGCCTTCCATGTAAGGAATTGCAAAGTTGTGTTACTTTAATAACACAAAATCACAACACACGAATGAACACTATTTATTCACCGTTTGAATTAACAATTTTTAATAGAAAATTGTTTCTTGTACATTCTATTATTCGTACACTTTTTTTTCCTCATCTTCCACTGTCGTTAACACGTTAATGCACAATCCTATCCACTTTGTTTTGTGAATTTAAATCAATTCAATATTTCGACGGGACAGAACAATTGCGAAGGAAAAATTAAAGACGATAAATGAAATTAGAAAAGAAACACGCACGTGAGTCTCGAGTACAAGCCGTCAGAAGACTGACCGGACTTGAGAGGCATCCCTTGACCTCGATACTAAATACACATAACTGATATTATCTTACAAACGTCTGGGTTAGCATGATCAATCAAAGGCTGATCGATGAAACTGTATTAATCTGATATAGTGTTACATACTGTTTGATATGATATACATATAAATAGTTTCACCGAAAAAAACAATAGATGACTTTCGATTTTGTCATTTCGTTGTAAAATTTGAAACGAGCTAATGAGGTCTAATATTATAACAAGGTTATATGTATCCGAAATCATGACAGAATTATGAATATTAATGGAGCTCAATAACACGTCATTTGTATATATTATGCTGATGACGGAAAGTCAAAATTAAGACGGAAGAAAATTTTGATGTACTACATAGATACATTGATTGACATTGTAAATGTTTATAATTGGATATTTGAAGAAAATTTTACGTACGTATCATTGAATTCGTGTGATAATTCAGGCGAGAAATCTATTTTTGTTCAAAACTAAGAAAGAAATATACAAGTAAGATAATTAATGGATCTGCGAGATGCGATTTGTTTCTTATAATCCTTTTATTTTTCCTCGTTAGGTTACATGACACGACGATTATATTATTATTAGTAAGATTCGATGCTGTAAGCTTCATTCTAATGTATCGCGTACGGGAAATATTGTACAAGGTGGTTCGACGATCTCCATCATTGAAAACATGCTTAATCGACCGTGTTACGAGTACGGCGCGCACATATTCCGGGCAACGAAATTAAGCGCACTATTACCACGCGTAAGAGAACATTCCGACAGACCAAAATGAACACTTATGAAACTGTATTTATCGTCACCTCCTTACTTCTCTCCTCCACTGGAAAAAATAGGAGGCGATAAAAAAACGATGAAGTCGAGATAAGATAACCATGCTCTGATTAAAAACCGAGATTAATCCGTCGATGGAACGCTCGTTAAGCCACCCTTTTCATCGGCTCTTTCAGTCACTAGATTTCAAATAATCTTGCAATCATTAACGATTATGCAACCGGGGAAACTAAAAAGAAAACGTTAATTCTTCTAGTATAATCCAATAAGAAAAATATACTCATTTCTTTGTGTAATTTATCTCTTGATATTTTTTATATTTTTTAATATAATTTTTTTACATAATTTACACTTTAAAAGAATCTTCTTTAATGAATAAAGGTTAATCTTGAAATGTTAAAATAACACATTGATTTACACATTGCGTGATTAAATCACAAAGGGCGAACAAAATACACGAGGGAACAGGAGGGAAAGAATTCATTGTTCAACAAACGACGAAATTAGCCCAACGATAATTATAGAAATGCGTGAGGAGATTCATATATCAGTGAAAGAGAATAGATCAGTAAAAAAGCGACGACTACTCGCTGTAAACTGTATAGTTTGCTTTGAAACGCCGGGCGAAAAAACACGGCAAAGGGAGACGAGGAAATAGAAAGAGAACTTTCGTAGAGGGATAGGCTGTCGTCGACTGAGTTTATTTTGAGATATCAATGCGAGTAGCATGAAAGAAACGCGCGAGAGCAAGGAAAATACTACGAATCGCTATTTCAGGTGTTTCGCACCACGCCATTAACCCGTATCATCTAAACTTTCTATTACGATCTTCCTATTTCTTTTAAGCTAACTGAAATAATCAGCTGTGATAAACGACAGCAAGTATTTGACATTCAATTTCGCATTAAAAATGTTTTTCCTTTTTTAACAGTGCGATGGTATTATCATGTTATGGTAATCGTTTCTTTTAAATAATTTACGTATTAGCTGCAAATCTATTTATATTTTTAAGTTATATAAGTTGCATAATTTGTAATGCACAACGTTGTATGTGACGTCAATCATTTGTTAATACATTGTATTATCGTACATGTAGACAATTGTATTTTTTCCAAATAATTTACATACTTGATATCATTATCGTATTAAAGCTCATTTACTTATATCTTTAACTAATCTTAATCCTGTATCTTACATACGTTATATAATTTATTATTTATATTATATTGCGTGTCATTGTAATGCACCTACTGAAAAAAATCTAACAATAATTAAGTCTTGATGATAGTTGTTATAAAGTTTAGTGAAATAATTTCGTATGTTAATATTGTTTTCTAAATATTATTTTACTTTTGTAATTATTACCAAACGATTGATTACTATTATTATATGTTTGATAATATTTATTAAATATTTTACCAATATGCTAAACAAAATATATTTAGTGATTATTATCAGACTCTTTTTTTTTTAATGATAAGTGACACGATTTAACTAACACAGTTTCTAGAACTGAAAGGGTGCGATCGTATGAGCATTTTTGATCGTAATCATCTTTGTTCGGCGATTAATTTATCGATAGATAGTTTGTTAACCACTGCCAAGAAGGAAACCTTAAGTATAACAATGCATTAAACTTTGTCATTGTGCGACCACACGAACAACTCTCAACGACGAAGTTTAGTGCATTGTTATACTTAAGGTTTCTTTCTTGGCAATGGATTAGATGATAGACCTTCGCGAGCAACATGCAGGTCGCTCGAGTCCAAGTCCGAGCAGGAAGATTGATGGATGAGTAACGCTTAGGAGTGCAACGCTAAAAGCACCGGTACGTTTTATGGCTCGTATGCAAACCACCAACCATTCAACGCTAAACATGCTTGATGTTTCACTTGTCTAATCGACGCGACGGTGCACGTTCACGAAAGACGTGAGTTAGGATCGAGCTATTACATTTGGCGTTAAATAGACGCATATAAATTTTGATGGAATCTTTGAATTACGTATGTTCCACGTATCGCGGCCAATTTTGCGTACAGGCAATGTTTCGATAGCCGCACTTGCAAAAACAGTTATAGTATATATATCATATTAGTCACACTTTCGCAATAGACACTTTTGTTATTATTACTCAACTATCTAACATTTTACTTGTTAATGTTATATGTTAATGTTGATGTTATTTAGCTATTCAAAATTTTATTTGTTAATATTAGATACTATTCAGCCATCAAAATATTTTACTTGATTATGTTATTCAATCATCTAATATTAAAATATTATACTTGTTCATATTATTCAGTCATCTAAAATATTATTTGTTAATATTATTCACATTTATATACATTTACACATATATTCAACAACTATCTTTTCTATGATTTGCTCTTAAATTTCTATTTTGTTAAATCAAATATATCGATATATCTAAATTCGTCGTGCATATTCGCATTAAATTCGTCGAATACAAGAGGTTGAGATAGAGAACACTCTCTTCATGCAAAAAAGAATACCATATGAATAATCAATCGATTACCTGCAAGAACAGCATGAAGCAGACCCACTGATAGTATTTGTACTCCTTTCGCTCAGTTTCGGAATACGATTTAGAATTGTCGACGCCGGGAAATGGTACTTCCAAACCTTCTCTTTTTCGGTACGCCGCGGTTATCGTGTAAGTGCTGTGTATCCAGCAGTAAGTGTTCAGAACGTCTTCAGGCAGGTCCTTGCTATGTATACAGTCGATAGGATTGCCGACGTACTGACGGGTTGTGACAATCAGGGAGAACGCTATCAGCAGGATCACAGTCAGACTGTAATGCAAGCGGAAGACGGCGCTGTCGATGTGGATATGCGAGATTTTTATGAGACTCTTCAGACCACGAAATATGTCCAGCATCTTGGTACTAGAACGATACTATAATAAGAGATCAGAGGCTACGCCGGGCCACGGCGATTCCCCAGAATAACGTCCGCAGGACTCCACGTCCTTCCACGTCGCTTTGTCGTTCTTTACCTACATTTTTCACTGTTCCCGATTTCGAGACCGTTTTTTAGCCGCGTTTCAAAGTTTGGCTTTTCGTCCACTTTTTTATTTTCGAGCAAGACACGAGTTCACAACTTGAAGGAAAAATACCGAAAACGCGCATGAATCTTTAAAAATGGATTAAAAAATGTTAACTGTACATTTTTTTATTTAGCTTATATTTCTCAACTTGCGTAAAACTTTTCGAAAAGAGATCTATTTCACTTTATCACTTACTTCATTTTCTTCAATTATTGTCCTTGCGGTTCCTTTCTGATTTTCAAGAAAATATCTTTTTTTGATCATCAAAAATATATATATATAATTATTCTTTTTTAAAAATATAAGTGTTGTATATATTTTATATGCATCGTTTTTTAGTAATCACTCTGGTATCTTTGGTAAATCTATATATGTATCTTTGGTCGATCCTTTTGGTCGATCGAAAACTGTGTGAAATACTTCTTACGACTTATACATTACTTTGAATCTTATCCTTACTGCTATATAAATACTGTCTTCTTAAATAGCAATTATTGTTCATCTTTGGCATTTAATCTTCTGAAACATTAACAGTCTCACATTTCTCGCCAAAGAAACGAGGTATAATCCTCTCGCGGTGCGCTCTGTACGTCTCCTCTTTCTTCACATTTACTCCAAGTTATTCGACGAGTAAAGCTTTCCTTCGGAAAAGTTTGCCACTTGATGAACGATCCCTCGATCGTCGAATCGCGTTGCGATCGACGTTGACGGGACTTTGAATAATCCGTTGTTCCTATGATAATAGTCCTCCCGCGCATTCTTCTCGTATTCTTATTCACGTTCGTATCGCAATTTCTAATCTTGGCTGTTCGAATATACAAATATTCGAGTGACACTGTCGGTTTCGGTGACACGCGCAGATTCGTCGAGCTCATGCATCTCCGCGAGTTTTCATTTCGAAGAACAAGCCAGCACACGCGAGATGCTCTTAAAATCTTATCTCACGATTTCCCTTGGGTATTCTAAAATAAAAAAATTTTCATTCAAATTCTCCTTTACATGGAAAGAACGATTTCACTGAAATATCTAAAAATTTAGCTAGATATAAATAAAAAAATAATTTTATTATTAAACTATCAAAATAATTATGTACGACATTCAAGCTGATTGCTAGAATATAAAAATTGTTTACAGCATTGTTTATCGTATTTGAGTTCCCTGCAATTATTCTTTGATGATTCAATAAAATTAGTTTTGGGTCTGTGTCTAAATTTTAGATGTTTCAGCAAAATCGTTTTTTCCGTGTACAGTTCTGTGGTCATTCGCGCAAGTAAATTACACCGCGAGTAAAACGACCGCAACCGTACAAGATTGCACGCTTTGAAATGTTTACAAAAGTCCTTCGTGCGTTACCAAAATTTGTACCGCGATATTCTCGGAAAGTGTCCGTGAAAGAGCGAAAAATCTTTACGGCGCACCTCGCTTTCGCAATTTTGCATGTTTCGTCTCTCGTCTTTATGTTTTGATGTCGCAGTAAAGTCACCATAAATTCCTCGCCATTCCTTTTCATTTTTTTTTTTTTTTTTTGAAAATGTCAAGAAAAGGGAGCACAGATATGATTAGTTTTATCGAAAGCCTTCTCATCGTCCAATTCGGAAGCATCTTTCTTCATAAAGCGAAGACAGAACGGATAGTGACGCGTCTTCGCGGAAAATTTCGGAGAAAGCGCACGAAAATATCCGCTCGCGACTCATCGCTGATGCATGTTTTCTGCTCCTTCTAGAAACCTAATTACAATGATTATAATGATATAAAAAAAGTATATACAAAAGTGTTACAAAAACAAAAAAATTCTCAATATTAAGAAAAAAATCTTTGCTAACGTTTATTGTTTAAAAAAATCCTTGCAAAAATTATTATAAAAATAATTAAAATACAATGAGATTTTTTTTTATTGCTGATTACTGTACACATTTAAGAACATTTAATGTAGAAAATATTAAATAATAAAATTAAATTATTACAAGAAGAAGAGAATATATATTTTAAAGAGAAGCTCCTATTAAGGAAAGACTTTTGCTGACGTTTATTGTTGAATTCTTTTCTTTACAAAAACTAAAAAAATAATTAAAAATGTTAAAAATAATTACAATAAAGATATAACTGATTTCTGCACGTTTTACAAATAATAATAAAATAAAATTGAATATTACAAGAAGAGCATATTATATGTTATAAAAATGAAGAGCTTCTCAGTGATAAAGAAAGACCTTTGATTGACATTTATTGTTAAATCGTTTCTCTTACAAAAATTATTAAAATATAATAAAAATTTTCCAAACAATTTTGCATATGTTTTCAATTGTTTATTATTTTCATAAAAAGGTAGAGCTTTCGAAATTGACCTGTCAAAAAGATTGATTTGTCTTCCGTTCACGCTTTGTAAAGAACGATTCAATTTAGATCACGCGAGAAAAAGATCCGATTACGCGTTCACTGTAAAAGCCGGATTAAATCTGCCCGACGAATTCAGGAATAAATTCTCATACGTCCGAACGTAGTGTTCGCGTTATTTCCGATTTATTTCCGAATGATTTCAAGATCAAGTACAAGCCGGCCACCGGACTATTTTCAAGGTAAAGTATTGCCAATATGAAATCCCGTATTTGCCAATGAACTAGTCAAATTATCACGTGTGCTTTCTCGAGACGACCGTAAACTGGGCTTTATATTCGTGAAATTTAAGTAATCTCATTGGCGAAGAAATACTGTTATGTGCACTCGACGGCTGCGGTGGTTTTTTATCGATGTTACGAAAGTATAAGGGTTTTCTTCGACTCGGTGAAGTTGTGTTATTGGGTCTGTGCCAAGATAGGATGCGCTCGCCGTAACCATTTTAGAGTTGAAACGTTTTTGGGAAAATAAAACATTTTACACTTGTTTCCGCGCTTGCGGACGGTCTGTCGATGTTTTAACAAAAGCAACCCGTCGAAATGGAAATGAGAAACGTTGAAAACGTGTCAAAATTATCGAACACTTCGAAACATACAGAAACAATCTACACATTGGACATTAACGAAATTCTTTTTTTTTTTTAAGGCTAAATGTAAATTCCGGATAATCCTGGTGGGTTCTTCTACGCGTGTCATCGATCAGCGTGTTGCATAAATTTTCCCAAGAAAAATGTACGGAAATCAAAATAAACTTTACACGCCTATATTAATATCTGCAAAAATCTTAAGTATAAAATCCTACCACTATATCGAATTGGCTTATTTCATTGCGACTTGCATGTGATACATGAACATGTTCTCATTAATCAAGTTAAGCGTTATAACTTGCATAATCTTAATTTACATATATAATTATCTCTCAATATTTTCAGTTAAGATAAACGAACGTATAAGAGCCAATATCAATATGCAATTTTCCATCCTGCCAATTAGCCACCAATTTCCTGCTAATCTCTGCACACCGATGGTTAAACGTAGATAAAGTTAATTCTTGAATATTAACGTTGTCTTTCCTTCCCCCTCCCTTACCCTTTCCACCTTCTCAAAGCGGATGTCCGCAGTCCCGTCTTTCTTATTTGACTTCGCGGAGATGAGCAACGAACGCGTGGCGTAAATACGACGCGAACGTATAGTCGGGAGAAACTTTTTCCAGATGCGGTTGAGCGATAGGGAATATCGCGGGATGATAAGTGAGACAAGTGGTACCGGCGGATACACAACGAGCACGGGGATTGCGAAGTCTCGGCGAAATGCTCGAGGGGGCCCCCGGCTTTATTTATAACCGGCGCGATGGGGTCTCTCTCGTAATTTTTCCCTCCTTCCTCTCCCCCTCCTTCGTCCCATTAATGCCACGAGCCGGCGGGCTCGGGTAAGCGAAACGATCGAAAACTCCGTGGCAATTAACGCACCGGCCACTTCAAAGGCACATTCGCTTTGATACGACCCCCTCACCCCCCCCTTTTTTATGCCTCCGTCGGCGTACGTTGTGCGTTACAACGTGCCTCGCCGCCACTCGTACCGTCGAAAATCAGCCGGGCTAGGCAAGAAATTAGAAGGCCCGTAATGCTGTTTGACGTGCGCGCTATTCTATTTTAGCGTTTACGCACTGCGACTGCACTTCGCCGCCACAAGCGAAACCGCACGGCAGTAAACGGAGCGGATAAGCGCTCCTCAGAAATACCTGAGGGCAAAGCGAAGCGAGGTACATAACACCACGGATTTCCTCGCCTCTATCGTTTTTAGGATGGATTTACATCATTGGAAACCGGAACCGTTCCGCTCGATAAACAGAATCGAGATTTCAAAATTAGACGGTCCCACACTAATAAATTTGTAACGTCAAATTTTTTTATATCCAATTTGAAATTATTCTTAATCACATTTATACAAATCACTGCTCTTATTCATTATGTCGTTTTTTAAATTAAAATAATGGAGTTGAATAATTTAATTCGAAAAATATTTCAAATTTGATTAAATTTAATTCAAATTTAATTTATTATTTACTAAAAATATACATTCATATGGATGTTATTCATTTTGAAACTAAGCAATTCAACCACAGAAATGAATTGATTGATTTTGACACGCACCTAGTTAAAAGTGACAAAATATTATTTAACTTTAGGGATTATCTTAATTGATTTCTAACAATAATTCAGGTTTGAACTGTGCTTTTAATAATTAATATCCATTATTATTAATGTAGATTAATATCCACTGTTAGACATCAAAGTAGCAACAATAATTCAATCCCTTGAGTTAAATAACATTTTGTTATTTTTAACTTAAAATGTAAATTAATCCATTTCCGTGGTTAGTTTCAAAGTAAACTACGTCCATATTGACGTATGCACTTAGTGAATAACAAACAAAATTTAAGTTAAATTTAATACATTTTTTTTTCAATTAAATTTCAATTCCATTCTTTTATTTAACGACATATTGAGTAGAAGCAGTGGTGACCTATAAAAATCTAATTTAAAGTAAGTCAAATGAGATATAATTTGACATTATAAATTTTTTTAACAGCATTTACTTTTTATCTTTTTTTTTAGTTCTAACATTAGAAAAAAGTAAATTAAATCGATATTAAAAAATTGATTTAAATGAATAGAAATGGACATAAAATCTATCTTTAAGCTGATGACTCGTCTCACAATGCGTGACTAAAATTCGGATAAAAAAACGCGTGATATAGTTTGATTCCGTT